AGGCTGAGGAGCAAAAGCCAAGCAATCCGTGCGGAGCTCCGAGAAAGCACGCTTGTGCCATTCGTTGTTCGTCTAGGCCGGTGCCCTGGCGCGCGGCCTGCCGGCGGCGGCTCGGCAGGAGGTGCCGGGCTGCCGCGCCGTGGCGCCCGCGCCAGGCTTCGTGTCTTGCGGCCTCAGGCTGGGCGCGGCCGCGGGAGCTCGGGCGAAGGTCGAAGAAGAAAAGACTACACAAACAGAACTTTTCGACGGTCCGCGCGAATTCCTTGGACCCTGGACCAACTTGGCGGCGCCTCCGGCGCCGCCCCTGGCGCGCTCCGCGCGCCAAGGAGGGGGGGGGGGATGTCCAGCGCCAATCCGCGAAATCTGCGCGAACTGTCGACAGCTTATGTTTATGCCGCCTGTTCTTCCTCTAGAAGGGCACGTCGGAGGGGCAGCGGCGGGGGGAGGTGTCGATTGGCCCTTCGTTCCCGGCGGTTCTCGGCGGCTTTCCGGGCTCGGTGTGCGTTCCAGCAGCTGCGCCTCGCCGAGAGCTTTCGGGGGGGCGCCAGGATGATCTTGAGAGGCCGCCGGATGCCCGAGCTATGGCCCGAAGCCAGTCGAATCAGGGGCCACGCCGGGGGTGGCCCGGCCAGGGGGGGGGGGAGGCATCGTCGATCCCCGGTCGCCCAGTCATCGCCAGGGCCTGGGTGTGCGATGACCCGCCCAGGGGCGCCCGGTGTCGCGGTCGAGGGCCTGGCCCGCCGACCCATCGGCGATGCGTCGCCGACTCCAAGTCCGTGTTCCCCCCTCCCTCTCGGCCAGCCCCACCCGACCGCTGTCCATCGGCGCTCCCGGCCCGCAGGCCCCCCCTATCCCGCTCCCCCCGCTCTCGCCCCTGCGGAGGCCTCCCCGGGGTCCCCACGTCTCGGCGGATTCGCCTCGGGTCCCTGCGTTCCCGCCCAGGGAGCGGTCCGGGGCGCAGCGTCGTCGACATATCCGCCCGCTCCCCCAGGAGTTGTGGCCGCGGCGCGGTGGCTGCTGAGCGTGGAGACGGAGTTCGTCAAGGACGGCGCGAAGAGGGTGCTCCTGTGCGTGGCCCTCGGGCTCTTCCTCAGCCTGAATCCGGCCAGCCCGTCGACCGCGGCCTTCAGCATCGCAGCCACCACGACGCTCGGGCTCCTGGTCACGCCGGTGTCGCCGCCTACCGTCGCGCTGATCGGCCTCGCAGCTGCCACGCTCGTGGGCACCATGAAGGTGGGCACGGCGCTCAGCGGATTCGGCGCGCCGCTGCTCTGGCTGGGGCTGCTGGTGCCGGTGTGCGCGAAGGGCTTCGGGAACATCCGGGGCAGCATCCACAACCTGGTGGGGAATGTCATCGACAAGGTGCCAGTAGTCGGCACCTCGTGGGCGCACTCGATCGCAGACGTGGTGACGTCGCCGCTGCAGTGCGGGAAGGGCGACGGCCTGGCGAAGTCTCTGTTCCTGACGGGCTCCAACACGAGCCTGCTGGCGGCCGGCCTGGGCATCGGCTGCCTCGGTGTGCAGGGCCTGGGGGTGCAGGAGTGGACGCAGCTGTCGCTGCCCCTGCTGCTCGTCCTGGCACTGAGGCCCTTCCTGCAGAGGGTTTGGATGGTGACTGGACTCAGCCAGGAGGGCATGCCGGCAGCGGCTGACAAGCCAAAGTACACGTTCGGCTTCGACGACTTTCTCCGGACCGTCCTCTTCGCATGGGCCATCACCTGCGCTGGCTTCCTGCGCTCCGTCCAGCCGGTAGCTGCCCTCCTGGGCGTGTTCGGCATCATGTCGCTTCGCGGGATGGTGAGCTTCAAGGACATCGACGAAGAGCAGTTTGGAAACCTCACCGTTTTCGCCTCCCTGGTCGTGCTCTCAGGGGGCATCGGCAGCGTCTACATGCGCTTGGGCGGCTTCCTGGCCAACTTCCTCCGCTCCGCGGCCGTGCTGCCAAGTGGCCTGCACACCTGGGCGCTGATCGCGGCCTACTTGGGCCTCAGACGCTTCTTCGCGAGGGCGGAGCTGCACGTGGCCACCCTGCTGCCCACGTTTGCCGCCGCGCTCGCCCACTGTGGGATGAGCCCCGGCCTGGCCATCGTGACCCTCGCGCTGACCTCGAACCTGGGCGCCAGCGGCCAGAGTGCCCAAGATGCATTCATGCGATACGTGGAGGTTGTCATATCCGGCTGCCTGCGGCAACTCCTGCCACCGTGCCAGCGCAACATCGCAGCAGGGAGGAGGTTGAGTTTGAGACCCGCTCCAGTCCAGTGCCCTGTCTAGACTGGCTCCTTCGCCTCAGGCTCGATCCCCTCCTCCCTCCTCAGTCTCCCTCCTCCTGCTTCCTCCGTCCTCCTTCTTGAAGGCATCTTGGAGGTCTCGGGGCCTTCTTTCGAGCCTCTTGGAGACATCCTGGGGTGCTCGTGGGTCAGCCTCGTATGGGCTTGGTGGGGGTCTGTTTGGGGCCAGTTGGGGGTCTCGGGGCCGGCTTGAGCGCTATGGCGCTACCAAGCTCTCCCCAAGAACCCCAGTTGAACCGTCTTGGGATCGTCTGGGTGATTCCCGGAGCCGTCTTGGAGCTCTCTGGAGACAGTTTTTGGTCCCTCCGAGGGGCTCCTCGGGCTCTTGTGGCTCTGATGCTTGCCCAGAGCGATCCGTTGCCCAGTGGCTCTGTGGGCCGTACACGGGGATCTTGTGGCTCTGAGGCTTGCCCAGAGCGATCTGTAGCCGAAAAGCTTCGAAAGCGCCACTGACACTGAAGTCGGGGAAGTTGTCCCATAGTTTTGCGACCCCCCCAGGCCTCCCCAGAGGCCTCCTTGAGTGTATATGCTCGGTGCCTCCATGGGTATCTCGAGGACATGTTGGAGCCGTTGGGAGCTCGTTTGGGCAATCTTCGGCTGGTCTTTGGACACATTGCAGCCATATCGCAGCTTTTTCGTTGGCTATTGTGGGGCCGTCCTGATGCCGAATAGTGCACTGGATAGCAAAACTGGGGGTGGGATCGACCAGGGTCTCCGTCGAGGGTGGGATCCTACCAGACAACTAGCAAGCATTCCAACCCTCCATGACCGTGCACGCACCGTGGCGGATTCATCCTCGCGAGGAGAGTCCCGTGGCTAGTCGTTGCTCTGCCAGTCCTTGGCGCCTTCGTGGTGGAATTGATTGAGAACAGGTCTTCCGTCGTCGCCTGGGTAACGAGGTCGAGCAAAACCGGCGCGAAGAAGGTCGAGAAAAAGGTGGAGAAGAAGGCCGAGAAGGAGGGCGAGGGCGACGAGGAGCCCGAGGAGTTTGAAGATGCAGGAGCCTGAGCGGAAGGCGCGGCGGCGCCGTTGCTTTTCTGCGTTTTTCCAGGGTGTGCCCCCCCCCGCCGCGCGAGCTCGGACCCTAGGCGCTCTCCGCGGCCCTCCGCGGGGCCAGAGCGATCCAAGGGATGGGCCCACGCCGGCAGAGATTTTATCGCGCGCTTAGACAGGGCCCCAGTGCTCCCAAAAATCAGATCCTTCGAAGAAGAGAAACCGCCATGGACAGAAACTTTTGGCGCTCCGCGCGGGTTTCTCGGATCCGCGCTGGGCCCCCCCGGCGGCGCCTCTGGCGCCGCCCCTGGCGCGCTCCGCGCACCATGGAGGGGCGGCTGGCGCAGGTCCAGGAAATCCGCGCGGATCGGCAACAGTTTCTGTTTGTGTTTTTTTTCTTCTCCCCCATACGTTCGAGAACTTTTGCTCAGCGTGTCGCGGCGTCGGTTCTAGCGACACGCTAAATCTTGCAAGCGGGTAGCTTGTCGCTTCGCTTTGCCGGGTGAGAGGCTTGGAAAAGCTCGGCACGTGAACGCCTGGGGACCGCGAAGTGGATAGCGTGTCGCGCAGCAGCGTGGTTGGCCAGAACCAGTGGAGCGACACGCTAAACAATTATTCCCGACAGTATTCCTCCTTCCTCTTTGGTCTCGTCCTCCTCCTCCTCCTCCTCCTCCTCCTTCCCCTCCTCCTCCTACTCCTCCTCCTCCTCCTCATCCTCGTTCTGCATGCCATATCCTCCTCCTCGTCCTCCTCGCCGTCTGCCTCTGCTCTTTTGTTGCTTGTCTGGAATCCTAAGCGCTTGGCTGTTCCCAGGAGGATCGGCAAGCAGCGGACAGAGGCGAGGGGAATCACTGGACAAATCACGCAACGTTGGGCAAGTGAATTGGGGGAAAGTGGGGGACATACTGGATGAGAGGGGGGAGAGTGTAGGGGAGGGAGGGACGGAGGGGGGCAAGGAAGGAGCGTGATAAGGAAGGGAAGAACGGATGAGGAGAAGGATGAGGAGGAGGAGGAGGAGGAGGAGGAGGAGGAGAAGGAGAAAGGGGGGATGGGTCGGGGGACACGTCGGAGAGGGATAAGGAAGGGGCGTTCGACGGAGAGTTCCGCCGAACAGACACGGCGTATGTGCCATCGTGCTTGTCACAGACAGGTCCCGTTGGATTCACGGTAGTTGTGATCCGCTGGTTCCCATGCTGTGCGATGTAGCATCCTTTCATGCATCAATCACGCCCAAGAGGCGCCCAGGAGCTGCACAAATGCCCTTCAGAGGCCCCCGAAAGCCCCCCTACGAGACCCCAAGAGGCACCCATTAGGACTCTGACCCAAAACCAAGGCACGGTGGCCCACAGTGCGTCGGAGGTCGGTCGGCTGCCTCTGCCGCGCACATCCAAGGTATCCTGATGCGCAGTGCCTCGTAATGTAGAGAGGTCCACAGAGGGGGGTCCTCGCGCCTGCCCTGGTGCCAGTGTCCCGTTGTCAGCGCCCCGTCCCAGGTGTAGGAAGTCATTGCTGCATCCGCGCATTCCTCTCGGAGGATGTCCAGGTGCCCCCCAGCAGAGAGGCTCTCTCAGAGCCGTCGTCGGCCATCGTGATCCCGCTTGGGCTGGGCTGCCCGTGGTACGTCCCTCGGCGCCTGTTGGGCTGCCCGTGGTACATCCCTCGGCGCCTGTCTGGCCTCGGTGGCCGCTCCTTCGTCCTCCGTGCTCGTCCGTGCTGCAGGGGGTTCGCCCCCCGTATGTTGTCCTGCGGCTGCTCGGTGCCGTTCTGACCTTCTCATCCCAACTGCTTCGCCAGTGATGGTTCGTCGCTTTTGCCCTGGTCCAGTTTCTCGGTCTCTCGTTCCCTCTCTCTCTCTCTCTCTCTCCCTCTCTCTTGTTCCTCTCTCTCTCTCTCTCTCTGCAGCTGCGCCGGCCGCTCCCCGCGCGCGGGATCTCCTCAGGAGCCAGGGGCGGGGGTCTAGAGCGGTTAGGCCCCAGGGTCGGCCAAGTCATTGGTCTTTGGGCCCGCCTTTCCATCCCTAGCTCTCGAATTGCATCGTGGCTCCCATACCGATGAGGAGGCGGTCGATTTAGCATCCCGTCACGCTTTCGCTCCAGCTGCTGATCCTGCTGCTCTTCTTCTGAACACCATATCTCCCGCCCCTCCCCGCCCTCTTCGCCTCCCTCGTCTGCCCCTTTTCTCCCTCCGCACCCCGCTCTCCATCCTCCAACTTTTTCTGGGCGGACGTCACGACGTCCTCGCAGATGTCTCTTTGTACACCTCAGTGGCGCCCTGCCTGGAGACTCGTGCAGCCCTCCTCTGCCCACGCCTCGTGCCCTCGTGGCCCCAGCGCCTCCCCGCATGTGGGCCACCGGCTGCGTGTGCCGCATCCGTTCGCTTCAAGATTCAAGAGGGGGAAAAACACACAGTCACAATAAATCGTCGATCTCCAGGAAAATATGGGAAGTTGGGGGGAAGACGAAAACCCAGAGCATATGAGAAAATACGGGGAATCCTGGGATTTGTGTCTATTAATTTGATTGTCCCAGGGCCCCTTCATCTTTGAGCACCCGAGAAGTTGCCCTTCCCCTTCGGCCCACCCTCCTCACCCGGCCTCTTCCTGGGTCGGGGGGGCCCCCGTCCCAGGTACAGCGGCGAGCCGCCCGCCAAGGCTGCCAGGGTGGTCCCGCCAGCACCGGCGAGCCAGTGGCATCGGAGAGGCCTCGTACGCCAGCCCGCCGGTCCCCCCTGGGATTCAGAGCAGGCCTGGCGCGGCATCCTTGGCTGGCAAGATGCCATGATCGGTGCGCTCGGCCTCTGTGGGACATCGAAAGATCCCTCTCAAGATACGTGGGGCTTGCCAGCGCTCGCTCACTTTGGGGATGAAGTCCCAAGAACTGCTGGCACGTGCTCTTGCACCGTACCGCTGCGGTTGATGTTGCGAGGCATCCACCGTCTGCATGTTCCAGACGTGTCTGATCTCTGAGTATCCGTTTCTGCATGCACGGACTCATGCAATCATCTGGAGTGCAGAGCGTGCTGGGGCGCGCGCTCGCCACCTATACTTGCCTCGTCGGGTATGCTCTATCCTCCGAGCGGTGACAGGATCGCGCTGCTCTCCCACGACAGCCCGAGACGACGGCGAGGGCAAGGATGACTGAACCGAGAGCGAGGGCGCGGGGGGCCGAGGACGTAGTTGAGGAGGAGGAGCAGGAGCAGGAGGAGGAGGAGGAGGAGGAGGAGGAGGAGGAGGAGGAGGAGGAGGAGGAGAGGAGGAGGAGGAAGAGGACCTGAAGAGAAACGGATGAGGAGGAGGACCGCTCGCTAGACCGCACCGCCTCTCTCTCTCTCTCGTTCTTCACTCGCCGCCCTGGCCCTGCGCTGACCTCGACCGCGCATGGAGGCTTAGGCGGTGCAGTGAAGATGACCAGGAAGAAGAGGAGAAACAGGAGGAGGGCGAAGGCGGCACGCGGCCGTCCCCCGCTTGGGGGAGCCGCGGCCTTAGCGGCGGAGCTGGTCGAGCAGTCGCTCTCTGGGCGGTCCCGCGGCGGCGCCGCGGCGGCGGCCGCCGGCGCGAGGGGGGGGACTTTGGAGCGTGGCTGCGCGTAGGAGTGGCCCTTTGCCGGAGTGCCCTTTGGTGCGGGTCCACAGGCGCCGACCTGCGCTCGTGCAGTCGCCACCTCCCCACGCGGCCCCCCCAGGCCGCGCACCAAAGGTCCCTCGTGCCCAGGGCCACCTCTTGCGCCGTGGCCGAGGAGCGTTGCCGGGTGGACCGCGGCAGCAGCGGCGGCGCGCGCAGCGCACCGCTTCCGCAGCTCCTCCCTCGCCCTGCGCCCTTCCGGGGCCTCCAGGGGGGAGCCTCGCCGTCAACGGGCGCACTCGCCACACAGTTCTGGCCAGGGCGCACCAAGGGAGAGGGCCGGTGATCAGAGCGGTATCGGTGCGCGCCTTTGTCGTGTCCCCGGCGGCGGCGGCAGCCACAACGGCGGCGGCGGCAGGCAGCAGAGGCGGCGGCTCTGGCGCCGGTGCGCCAGCGTCGGCGGCGCGGGCGGCGGCGGACGCTGCAGCCGCAAGCAGTAGGCAGCAGGCAGCAGACCGCGGGGGCCCCCGTCCACATGGCCGGGCTGCGTTTGAAGATGGCATCCGATGGTGAATTTGCGCCCAGGGCGGGAGGAAAGACGGGGGAATGTATTCTTCAGCAGGCGTCCAAAGACCGCCCCAACGTCAGCAGTTCGTTGGTGCCCTGATCCGTTTTCTCTCCTCCACCCTCCGCCCATCCTTATCCACTTCTCTCTTCCTCTCCCCCTCCCCGCGTCCACTCCTCCTCTCCCTCCTCACCTCTTCTCTCCCCCGCCCGCCCCCTAAGCCAGCACGCCCCCTTTTAGGATTTCCCGCTTCAGGACCAGGACGTCTCGCGGACGGTACCGTCGCTACGCCCCCACCCTCCCCCTTCCCCTCGGCGAGGAGCGCACCTAGCTCGAGTTAATCCCTCCTCCATCCCCCGTTTCGACGGAAGGAGACAGGATACCGACACACATGTCAGGGACTCGCCGATCTGCCGCTTGGAGATGTCTCGGGCAAGGCGGCGACGCGGCGGTGGTGGTACAGGAAAGGATCTTCCTCGCTCGAATTCGGAGTCGACCCCCAGACCTCCCCTGGAGCGCGAGCTGATCAGAATGCCGAGGCGTGTCCAGCCGTGGCGACAGGATCCTCGCTGATTTCAGGAGCGGAAAACAGGCGCACGCGCGCAGAAGCCCACTCGGGCTTCGCAACAGCGCGCTACGCGAGCATTCGTGACATGAGGGCGGCCTTGAAAGCTGGGGGGCGTGCTCATGTACGGTTCGGTTCGCGTCGTGTCGACCGGCGGCGACCCCGCCGCCAGCGTTCAACGTTAAGCGCCCCCGGCGTCCCAGAATCGGTCGATGTTGAACGGCTTCACGTTTCGGAAACGGCAGATCGTTCAAGGTTGAACGATCTCTGCGGTGTCAGGAACCGACGCCGAGGTCGGCACGACACCAATCGGCCGTCCGTGGCTGGGCGCGAATGCCATTCAGGGGCTCCCTACCATGGGTCGCCAGCCGTCTCTCGCCTGACGAGCGCGCGGCAGAGGCCGGCTCGCGCGGCAGGGGAGGCCTGGCCAGCGGCCGCTACGAGGGCACCATCTCCGCCTTCTTCCCCGAGCGACAGTTCGGCCGCACCCCCAGCGTCGCGCGGAGGGGGCAGGAGGAGG